TGTATTATTGTTGACATGGCAACGTAACGTGTAACAACACTGGCTAATCCATAGGTCTGGCTCGACAGGGTTGGGCTGAGGAGCTTTACTTCACTATGTCTTTCTCTTTTAATGCGGGCAGGGCGTCTGACAGAAAGCTCAGTTGTCACATCAAATAATAAAACTGAAACCTGAAACTGTTTTAGGAATAAAACAAGAAAAGAAACGACTTAAAAATAGGTCACATGATTTTTTTTTTGTGAAACAACTTTCAACCACGTGTTTTATAATGCAGACTTTGTGGGAGACTTTCTCAGCCTCTGTCGTTTTCTTTGCGTGCATTAGGTGATTGATTTCAAGCTGCTGGCGCCATGTAGAGGCCTCTGGACTAGATGAAGTGGGAAATAACTGCCAGTCTCCCCCCTTAACCACCTGCCCAATAGCTAAAGCCAAACCACTATTAAAGCTCATTAGTTTAGGCTATGGTTAGGAATAGTACCCCATTGGTTAAGGTTAGGGTTTGGGTATGGGTTAGGCATGGTGGAGTAACTAAAATTAATGGAAGTCAATGGAGGCCCACATAAACATATAAATACAAGTGTGTGTGTGTGTGTGTGTGTGTGTGTGTGTGTGTGTGTGTGTGTGTGTGTGTGTGTGTGTGTGTGTGTGTGCGTGTGTGTGTGTGTGTGTATGAGATTGACCTTTTGAAGCAGTGTGCAGAGGTGAGGACCCAGCACGTGTTGATGAGAGTTGCACCACAAACCAGCCTCCCATCTCCACGAGATCCTCGCAAGCGAATGGCAGCCTGCCACGGCCAGCCACCCCTAAAAACATAAACACACAGGAAACCGTGCACAAGGACACACACACACACACACACACACAGAGTTCTAAGAACTGCACAAATAATCTGAAATACACAGTGAAATCTGTGATGTTTAATTTTAGAGCTCATCAGAACCTCAAGAATCTGAAGATAATTTTATTGTAGCACAAAATATGTGACTTTTCATTTGGATTCATATAAACAGGAATCTTAAATAGTTTACAGCAGCATCTGTAGCTGATTTACGTTACTTTGGGGACCGAACAGTAAACATTAGTGTGCCTGGCAGACTGAGTTTACAAGAGGCAATAAGAAAGTTAAACACACACTTGAAAATGAGAACACACACATTGGGTAAGAACTGTACCAATAAATCATCTGCACTCAAAATGCACCCGTTTTTCTGTTTCTTAAGACTTTTCAAGCCAATAAGGCTGCAGACTAGTTTCCATCCATCCATCCATTTTCTGAACCCGCTTGCCCACGTAGGGCCGCGGGGGCTATCTCCAGCGGTGAATGGGCAATCAGGCGGGGTACACCCTGGACAGAGAGCCAGTCCATCGCAGGGCAACACAGAAACACACAGGACAAACAGACAAACAAACATGCGCGCACACACACACACACCTAAGGACAAGTTAGACAGACCAATTAACCTAACATGTTATTGGACTGTGGGAGGAAGCCGGAGTACCAGGAGAGAACCCACGCAAGCACAGGGAGAACATGCAAACTCCAAGCAGAAAGATCCCAGGACGGGAAGCGAACCCAGGACCTTCTCGATGCAAGGCAACAGCTCTAACCACTGCGCCACTACGCAGCCCAGACTAGTTTCCTCATTAGTCCAACACATGCTGTTAGTAACTAATTCAAGGAGCTAGCTATATGGATATGATTTTATTAGCTCTGTTAGACTAGAATTTAAACCGTGAAACTCACGCCTAAACACCTCACAAACCCACAATTTTAACATGTTTTCTTTTAATTTGCATTATGAAAGAAAAGTTAAGTACTTTATTACACTGTGTGCAATGACCTCATTCACATCTAATCCACCTGCAATTTCTATTCATCATTTAACTTTTGTTTTTCATAATCAATGCAAAAAGGTGTTTAAAAACTCATGTAATTAAGATGCCTGTCACCTTGAATGTAGCTGCTACTTTTGAGATTTAAAGGTGTGGGAAACTCGTTTAACCCTCCCACTGTCTTTATGGGTGACCCTGCAAGGAGAGTTGCCCACTGAGCAGGGTTGATGGTTTATCCCTTGAGGTCTATGTGGCAGGGGTGAGGTGGTGCTCACTCCTCACCCCTGCCACGTGGACCTCAAGGGATAAACCATCAACCCTGCTCAATGGTCAGTGGGAGGGTTAAGCAATACATTTGCAGTGGTCTCTGGTAGGAATGAATGTCTTGCAAGCCGTACTCGGGGCTTTTCGCTTAGATCAGCAGGGACAAGTCTTCTGCTGAGATGTGGCACAAACGGGCAGGATTGAGAGTCTTATTTCCTGATATTTGGACATCTCGCCTCGGATTGGATAACAGCCACGTGACTCTACCATCAACTTACAACGTGGATATTTTATCTGCACCATCAAGCCTGGATGAATTTTTCTGTGTGGTGAAGTGGCTAATGCTAATTGGCTTCTACTAGTCGTGGCGTTATCTACGGTTTCCTGGACGCTAAATAAACCACATCCTTCCCCGTCGGGTGTCATGACAAGTGAGTCCATGAATGTTACGTGACAGGGTGACATAGATCTGTCAGGCTTTTTAAATTCTACAGTTTCACTGTCTTTTCTATCAGAATCTAATGCAGGAGATAGGTGTTGGAGACTATTTCAATGTTCGGCCTGCATGAAAAACTCACAGGAACTGATTATAATAATCAGAAATAATATTTAAAAAAATGGTTTATCAGTGTTCCGCACCTTTAAGAGATTTTGGATGACCTCACCTCTCACCCAGCGGATATCATTCAAATGCTTTTTGACTATTTCATTAAAAGAAATTCTTGCATTATTTTCATCATTTCTTAAAGTCTAAATGACATCTCTAGATTCAGGTGTGTTCTTTGTGCAGTTTTGTTTCCCCTAACTTAAACCGTAAGTCATCTGTCTTCCATTTACACAAGTCTTTAAGCATGGCAATGCCTCTGACTGGCTTCCTTTGTTCTGTTATTAACTCCATCTGCCCCTTCAAGCTCACCTCAGAGAGTTTTCTCCTCCTATGATTCGGCGCTGGCGAGTGTGTATGAGCCGCAGACCGCAGATCGAGTCGACAGGATCTGACAGAGACAAAAAAGGACTATTGGACGTGTGAATGTGAGAGTGTGTGGCAGGGTAATGATTGCTCTGCCATATGTTTCAGCTCAGATATAGCTTTTCGTAAATATTTTGGAGTTTCCTCTTTTTACTGTGACATGCAAGAATGAAATGAAAAAAAATCAAATAATTTAGAGGTTATTTTATAGTCAAAGAGAGTGAGGGAGTTTTCTGCACGATGAGACAAAACGCTGGATTCAGCAATACGTTCATGTGAGAAATGGTAGTAAAACATGTGTGCAGGAAGTAGATATCATTGTTTGACTCAATTCGAATGTGTGATGAACGGAATGAAGTAATAACACATTTTACCATCTGGACACAGAAAAGTACCAGACTTTCTGCCATACATCTTACCTACTCCATTCTCTCATTCTTTTTTATTGCATGAAGCAGTGAGTTTGCTAAATGCATTATAGTTTCTGCAACGCTTCGCACACAAATCAAAGAAGCTGCATTTGTTTTCATATAAACGTGAAATTTAGGCTATTTCAGCTGCTTTGGAGTGTTTGTCTGTGTAATATTTAAAAAAATACTGTTACTCTCTGAATAGTCCATGTTTGTAAAATGGAGTTTGCAACCAAAGTCAAAGTGGATTTCTGTCATTTTAAAACAGCTAGAATGCCCAAATTGTATAAGTTTTTCAATAGTTCTACTTTTGCACAAACATCAATTTTGCATGAAGTTTTTTTTTTTTTTACTTTGAATTGAACAGTTATATAAAGGTGCAAGTTCCACCAATAGCAACAAAATCAAATCAAAACCTTTTTTTTCACCACCAATTCCCTAAAAAACAAGTTCATTCTCTTTTTCAACACATTTGCAGTTTTTTCTAGTACAAATGTTTGAGTTGATCTTTGTGGGGAAAAAAAAAACTTTGACACTCCTATTTCGGGAGCTAGAAGTAAGCCATATAAGAGGTGAGCAGAACACGACAGAATTTGGAGTCGTATTTCCTGATATTCTGACATCTCACCTCTGATTGGCTAACAGCAACACAACTCTACCACTGACTCTGTTTTCTTTGCAACATTGATGTTTTATCTCCACAAACCTGAAGGAGTTCCGCCGTGTTGTGGAGTTGCTAATGCTAACAGTTAGCATCTACTAGCTGAGATGTTCTCTGCTGTTTCCTGGACACTGAGGCAACAACAGTCGTCCCCATCTCAAGCCAAAATGGGTGAGTCCATGAATGCTCATGATTGACTGATCATATTTCATGTTTCAAAAATAACAAAAGAAAAGGTTTCTCAGTGAACTTGGTCTTTAATATGACAGTGTGACTGACCTTTAACCTCTTTCTTGCTGTGCTGCGATTCACCATAGTCGCAAATGACTCCGGCATCCTCGCTGTGGCGGCAGTTGTGTGTGCCAGGCGTTTGTTTGATACAGTCCGCCAACGATCGCTCGTTGCCGCTGCACCTGACATTGTCCACATGTATGGGACCTGTCCCTTCCCCAAAGTATGCCATCACACGGGCCTTTGCAACTCCGCTAGAAAAAAACAGAGAATTGGTTCAAGACTTTAAAATCTAGAACATATAGACTTATAAAACCACATGGGGGAAAAAACAGGAAATGTAGCTGAAAATCGGTGAGCTTCAAGTAAAACTTTTCAGAACAAAAGTAGGAGAAGACGCACCAGAAGACATGTTGGCTTGGATGTTGTGATGTGATGTTCTCAGGCAGTGACGCAAACACATATCACTCACTTAGCCTTTTCCTTTAACTTGTAAACAGCCTTAAGACAAGCCTGGGGTTGTTCTGAGAATATAAGACTGAAGCTGTGATTTAAATTAGGACTGAAAGATCACTGAAAGATAAAGTCTTGTGTTGCATCCCTAGAGCTCAGCGAGTGACATCTCTTGTTTCCAAAAGCTCCCAGAGCAGAGGGTTAACCTCCACGTCACCTGGATGTCAGCCTAGTCTCTGACATCACACTTGACACTACAATTATTAACATGCATTACACTCTGAGATGTTTCCCATCAAGCATTCTCGACACATTTTTAACCTGCAAAAGACTTTTTTTTCAGCATGTCAGTTGCAAATTTGACAAAGGATAATGCAAAAGGCAACAACATCAAAAGCAAAGTTGAGGAGCTGCAGACACGAGCTGTTAGGATACATTTTTAAACACGCTTTCAAAAGCCATTTTTAGAAGACGCATCATGCCAGCGTAGTACTGCCGCCAAGGTCATGGCAGCATGCCGTTGCGGGAATTTTGCGGCATTCGTGCCACCACGCTTGGTAGTAATATTACCACAACGGCGAACTTGTGAATGCATATTACGTCTTGGCGCAACAGAGGGAGATGTCATGATCACGTGGGGAGTTACTGCCGAGGCACAGCTGGCAGCTATACTGAAAATTAAAGTAAATAAGGGTTTAATAAGTTTCACTTTTGTAAACAGAACTAGCTGAGAAGATAAACTGGAGCGATGCAGAGCTCCAGGAGCTTCTCTCCATTAGAGCTGGAGGTAAAATCACCAAAGAATGCACTTGGACTGTGGAGAACAGACACCTTTAGGAGCAGCTTGTTAAAAAAACTTAATGAGCGTGGCTTCAATCGTAATAAAAGCAAGTTATGTTCAAGTCAAACTGAAGTCCGTGGCAGCACAGAGGTCGCCCCCATACTCCCTTTATACCGCCATGGCATAATCGTTTGTAAAAAGGACTCGATTGCGCCACATTACCACCACGGTCCGACTGCTTATAAACAACCTAAGACTCCCAGATGCTGCCACAGCATTGCAGCAAGTTGGCGGAAATGTTTTCTAACAGAATAAAGACTTAATTCTTGCAGAGACACAAGAAAGTAGTTCCTAATGGATATTCTTGATGTGCTCAAGCAAAGATATTAAAGCTATTTTAGTTAAACTATTTAGGCAGATATTTAATTTTGCAGCCTTGTGAATACAAAGCATCGCTACGATCTTACAGTCAATCAGGATATTTGGGTACAAAAAACAAATGACATATATAAAGGTAGAGACTAACTGAACACGTTTTGTTTTCTTTTAATTGTGGGAAAGTTGGTAAATTAAAAGACTTTTTGATAAAATGCTATAAATGATCAAAGTAGTCAACGTTATGTATTTACTCAAAAGTAATAAAACATGTTTTATGTCTGATTTAATTTTACCCTTCTGAGCCTTTTTTATGCAATGCTTTTTTTTAAAGAAAACCCATTTTTTAATGATTATTTCTGAATATAATCGGTCACTTGGAGTTTATCATGGAGGCTCAACATGAAAATTGCCTCCTGCACCTGTCTCCTGATCGAAAATAGACGGTGAAACTCTAGGATTTGAAACAAAGGGGAAGGTTGTTGTTGGTTTAGGGTCCAGGAATTGGCAGAGAATGTCACAACTATAAGCTAACCGTTAGCATTAGCAACTTCGCTACAGAAAGTCCTCCAGGCTTGTGTTATTTGTGAAGATAAAACATCAGTGTTGCAGAGCAGAGTCAGCGATAGAGTTGCAATGCTGTTGTCCAATCCGAGGCGAGAGGCCCAAACATCAGGAAATAAGATTCCAAACTCTGCCATCTGAAGCTCAGCTGTGATGTGGGTCACTGCTAGTTCTTGGAAATAGTGCAACGGTATATTTGGTTTTTTCCCAGGGAAGGACTTCCAAGACATTCATTCCTACTAAACACCACTTCAAAAGTATTGATTAAAAGAGTGAACCAAACCTTTAATAGTTTTCCTTCACTCATCATTTTGATTTTTGTTTCCTTCAGCTACTTGGTCAATCAAGCCTTCACACACCTGTTTTTTGTTTTCCAATTAGCTCATCTGTTTGTCATCCAATGCCATCTATCTATTGATTGCACTGGTTTTTCCCCCTTAAAATTTCCTGCTCTGTGTGATTTCATTGTGCTGCTGGTTTTAAAATATCTTAATAAAATAACTTAGGCTGCCTAGTTTTTGTTATTTTCTCCACTAAAGCTTTGTGTGTAACTCCAGTTTCATTTACATGTTCCTTTCCATAAAAACTATCCAGCTACAGAAGCTGTCATCCTCACCTAAAACAGTAAAACCATTCTGAACTGATCAGCTAGTGCTTCAGAATTTTCATCCATTTTGCTTTTTAAATGGCAAAAAACATGATGAATGAGACCATAAATATTTCTTCTTCCGGCACTCGCTTTTTCTTCTTCCGGCACTCGCAGAGTACAGACGCTTCTGCTTTTGCTCCCTTATCTTTTTTTCCCAAGGCTCTTTGTCCTGTCTGCCCACAGAGCGCTTCTCTGCATTTCTTCTGAAAAACCCTATTTTTTAGAATGGATTTAATTAATTGGTCATTCAACGCGATTGACAAGATTTTTTCTACGATGAGAACGGAGGAGGGGGCTCCCACTTACCCGCAAGGGACACAAGCAGCAGGATATATGCTCGATTCCTGGAGGGAGTGGAAGATCGTATGCCTCTCTCAGTTGTCCATTGAGGATGTTGAAGATGTGTGGATATTTGGCCTGATGATCACTAGATTGCTTCTGATTGGAGTGGGAGGATATCTGGTTTTCTGGAAATTTGGGAAGACGGGAGCGATTGGAGGGCGACCCGCACCCATGGAAAGCACCGTCCGTGTGGAGACCTCACAGACTGGGACGTTACTCGAGGTGAATCGTAAGCTGGACAATGTTCTAGCTGCGATACCGGTATTAGTGCGCAAAATGGATGTCATTTCGGAGAGGGTCACTGGACGGTGTGGAGATGTTTAAAACCTGAATTGGCTTCACTGGAGGACTTGAATGATCAGTTACAGACTTCAAGGCAGAGCGGAAAATTATCTCTGCCTGACCCAAACAAAGTCTTGTTATCCGAATCTGACGCCATGGCAGCCTTGTGAATGACAACAACAAACCCCCACGAAGGAATGCAGGCTGATGCTGTGAAAACCCAACCTACCCCCCCCCGCTTTTGGATTGGTGGACTTCAGCCTGGCGAGGTCATCAACCTGCAGGTGTCAATGTGCTCTGCGCTCCTCCCAAGATCTCCCTCCCACCTGTGGCTACAGTGGCTGAGCGCCATAGGACTGCTCTCGCTAGGGAAACAGGATCCCAGACAGTCTCATGTTGTGAATTGTTGATGTTAGTGCTTATATGTTTGAGGCGGGGTTTTTTTGCATAGTAAAGTTACGCCCTGCCGGGAGTAACTCTGGTATGCCTTTTTTCCCTCCCCCAATTTATCCTCATGTAATCCCCTTTTCATCTAATTAACGGTAGCACGACTCTTGTTGCGAATGACCACAGTACCAATTCTTCTGTACTGAAAAAATTGCCCCTCGGGGATGATTAAATTTTTTTGAATTTGAATTTGAAACAGTTTTTGCTTTCAATCTAACTCACAATGTTTCTTCACATTTGCAAACATTTATTTATAGAGGACGTGGTGGAATTAAAAAATGTATGTTTATTTTTTTGTAGTTTTTATGATGTGCTGCTAGTATCAAACCATAATAATAATAATAATAATAATACATTTTATTTCAAAGCGCCTTTCAGGACACCCAAGGTCACTTTACACAAAACACATAATAAAATACAATAAAACAATAATAAAACCCAAAGAAGAAAAAACAGAGAGAAACATTTCAATAAAATCAGAGGTTGTAGGCAGATTTAAACATGTGTGTTTTGAGTTTTGTTTTGAAAAGGGTAAAACTGTCGACGTTCCTGATGTCTGGGGGAAGTGAGTTCCAGAGTCGAGGAGCAGAGCGGCTGAAAGCTCTGCTCCCCATGGTAGCGAGACGGGCAGAAGGAACCGCAAGATGGATGGAAGAAGATCTGAGAGAACGGGATGGGGTGTGAATACTTATAAGGTCTGAGATATATGGAGGAGAGAGGTTGTGGATTGCTTTGAAGGTATGGAGGAGAATTTTGAAGATGGACCTGAATTTAACTGGGAGCCAGTGAAGCTGCTGGAGAACCGGCGTGATGTGGTGAAAGGAAGGGGTTCTGGTGATAATACGGGCTGCTGAATTCTGGACCAGTTGCAGTTTATGAAGGAGTTTGTTGGGAAGACCATAAAGAAGTGGCAATAATAATAATAAGCAAATACATGTTTGTTATGATGTCTCTTTTATATGTTTCCACATTTTTGCCATGTAATATATTTGTGTGCATCAGTATGTGCCTTTATGTTTTGAAATTATTGCCATTTGAGAATACTCTTCAGCCATTGGAGACCTGTCATGTAATAGGTTTTCACCACACCCAGCATGACACAAGCTGATGATCTGAGTGTGGCTTTTACACACTTCTAATAGGCTTCCTCCAGCTTGCTCACGTTGATGCACTCCAGATGTGATGTTCAATAACTTAAGCATTAAGGACAAAAAGGTGGCTTAACGAGATTTTACAGCAGAGTGATGAGAGAGAAGATATCCTGCTGATTCATTTTGATCAGAAATGATGAATAGGGAGTCAAAATGTCTGAGTACGCAGCTGTTTGTTGAACAGTGACACTTACATTAAAAAAAATGCAAATCACCATAAAAGCCTGTCTTTTTGATTAAACGTTTGTGATTGCTATCCACAAAACTCCAGATTAAATTATTGATAAAGGCAGATGGAAGAACACCAGACCTAGGCCCATTCTTTAGTGTTAGAAAAAAACTCAGAAAAGGGAAAAAAACTCAAAAGAAACTAAAATATGTAATAAAGTTTAAGGCAGAAGGAAAAGTGAACAGACAAATGGAAGACAGATGGAGAAACGAGGAGAAGCAGCAGACATGACCGAAATGTGGTGATGGCTTTAGCAAACAGATCTTTGAAGGTAGCCTGCACTTGTTTAAGTTAACGTAAAGATGCATCACCTTCAAAATGTTTCTACAGCACTTGACTTCATTTTCAACCTCCTGAAGAGGAACTCAGCTTAAAATAAAATGTAAGAAAAGTAATAATATTATGCATTGTACACAAAATCTGTGCATCTTGAGTGGCTTCAATAGATTCTTGATTAAAGTCAAAATTACCAGGTGTGAATTTTTTTTTAGCAGCTAGACCCATATCCCCAAAACATTACTATGTTAAGTTAACAGAGCATCAATTAAAATTGAGGCTGTACCGCATTGTTATTAACAGATGAATATTTAGTTTATACTGAAGCAGACGTAACCCTGTAATCATCATTGCACCTTTAAGGTGACGAGCCGCCGCCCATGTCTGTTAAAGCCGGATCACGCTGCACGTTTTTTGGCCGTCCTAGACAAATCCCTCATTGAACAGGATCTGTGGCCGTCTTGTGTGACTAGCTCTGCAACAGCTTAATGAGCACCCTCGTGACCAAAATCAGCCCCCAACAGTCATCAAGCACTGCATGAAAACCTACGACTCACATCTTCAGTCGACCCATGAAAATACACCCAGCGATTGATGCGGATGGCTAGTGATGGGAGTACAATATGAGAGTGGAATTAGCCACATTAGCAACAGTGAAAGCTACATGAAGCAACATGCAGACCACTTCTTTTTGGAGTCCAGGTTTGGAGTCTAAAGCCCCATTCCCATCTGTACCGGGTCGGCCCGGGCCTGGTAGTGTAGGTTGTTTACATATCTGGGTGGCCTGGTATTTTTCCGGGCCAACCAAGGCTCATTCTCGGCCCTCTTCCCGAGGGGTACTGCTTCAGGCCGACCAGGGCCAACACACCCACTGCTGACAGCAATTCACACCTTCCATTAGAGCAAGCCTCTGATTGGTGGGTAGAATCAGCCCATTCACACCTTCCATTAGAGCAAGCCTCTGATTGGTGGGTAGAATCAGCCCACATGGGCTTAAGACAAGGATGTGTGGAATCAACCGGGCCAGGCTGGGGCCGACTGGGGCTACCCGGCCCGGGCCAACCCGGTACAGATGGGAATGGCCCATAATAAACAAAGTGGCACTTTCAGCATAGTTGTTTTGGTTAGCTGTCGGCTTTTAGTGACGTATGCTCATGACATAGCGGGTCCTGCGAGTGAGACGTGATGCAGTTTGGCTCACTGAAATTTCGCATGGTACTTTGTGCCACCTTTTTGGAGTTCTCACAGTGTGACATGAGCAATCCTGAGCGACAGCCAAAAAATGCGCAGTACGGTCCAGGCTTTCGACTTGTCACGATTTATCATTACTGTAGACTTGTTTAGAGGGATTCACGAGTCTTTGACTTGCCTCAAACACCAATCACCCTGTCAGCTCAAGTCCAACCCCCAAATTCCACTACCTCCGCTCCACTCCGCTCCGCTCCGACACGAACGCCGGAGCAAAATCGGTCCCGTTGTAGTCAATCAAAGCAATTCCACTACTGCGGCTGTGCTCCGGCAGTGCGGCGCAGAATCGATCCTATTTTTGCCGGACGCCGGAGCACCTCCGCAGTAAATGGAAAGAAATCACAACCGCCCAACAGGAAAAGGAGCAAGCACAACTTCCGTTTTTCACAATAAATCGATAAACAAAAGGCGTTTTTTGTTTCATATGCACAGATTTAACAACTTTTAACAACTATCAATGGCGGCTGAAGTTTAAATGCACAAAAGTAAGCCATAAAAACAGTTTCTACTATCAAAGTAGTCACACTTTGTTGATCCAAACACTGCTGATCTCTCAACACAAATGATGGGCAGATTAAACAGTTCATGCCGATGCTTCTCCCACACAACGGGTGTTTGGATCTAACTTCCGCGTTTATTGCTCGGACTGTATCGCAAGATCTCGAAAATCCCGCGCATGCTTGTTTGCCCACCTCAGGTCTCCGCACCGGAGCAGAGCCGTTGTAGAGCGGGTACCAGTAAAAATTGAGTTCGGAAGCAAGCGGCTGCGGAAGGCGGGGGCGGACCGGAGCGGAGGTAGTGGAATTTGGGGGTAAATGATGAAAAGTTAAAGCCAAAGCCATTTCAAACCAGTGGCGTTTAGCCGACGCCATCTTTGTAGTTTTTCTTCATCGCACCTCTTGTGCTAAACCCGCCCAACAAATGCAAAGTGCTGTGATTGGCAAGACACATAATTGTTCTGGAGCGTGGGTAGATCGACCAGCAGAGCAAAATCTTTAGTTGCTGCTGTGGTTGTTCTAGATTTCTAGGCTAATTTATTCCTCCTTTAACTTATGTGGGAAATATTTAGATTACTGCTAATTTCCCTTTAATACAGATGCTCCTTCAAATTATGTTATTTATGGTGCCAGAAAAACGAAACCAAGTTCAAATGATCAGTTGCCTTGTATGTCTTTAAACAAACGAGGTCATATGACAATTCTGTAAACCCAGTAAAAGTCAACAGTCTTCCCCAAATTATGAACTTAGCCTGCTTAACTTGTTTTGACATATACATCTGCAAATGTTGTTAAAACACACTTTTACTGCTGAGCAAAGAAAAAAAGTCTTCAGAGCGCTGTGTGAGGTTTCACAGGAATCTGCTCTGCAGTACCTGAATCCCAGCTGCCGGCACACCACCTCAGCATCGTTATCAGTCCATCCGTCATCACAGATGGTCCCCCACTGACCAGAAAGATAGATCTCAACACGGCCTTCCCTGGAACTTTCTCCTCCTACAAGTCTTACTGGTACACCTGCAAGCACAATAACAGTACACTTACACTTTTTCGTCAAACAATAAATCCTTGAATTTTGTAATAAACTGTTAGACACTTTCCCTAGGAAAAAAATAATTTTAAATATTTCTGCAAGAAATATTTATCATGACAAAGCACCTGGTGACAAGCTCAATTTAAATTGATATGCCACTGACTTCCTTCAATGGCAATGACTTATTTATGTCCCCAGCAGGGCACAGAGTCTGGAAATGCAGTGAGTGTGCACAAATTCCTAACAAGCCTGATCCTCCAGGCTAAAATGAATGGCAGCGTGTGCAGGCATAGGGACATATTTGGAACACCTGTCTTCTTACTAAAACACACCTCAAGCCTTTTTATGTTTATGAGAGTGTGTAGGTGTGTGTCAGGAATGTAAAACATCTAAGGTCTGTGAGAAGTATTTCTTTTCATTAGCTATCTGGTGTTCACTCCTTTGTTCACAGACACACTGCCTGTCAAAACAGTTGGTGCTTTATGTTGAGTGCTACTTGGTGTTCATGGATCTGTCATTGCACATTTGAGGTAAACAGCCACCAATCATTTATGCTCAACAATCATTCGACTGGACTTGAATATAAGAAGTGTGGCAGGTCAAAATTAGTAACTTTTATTGCAATCTTAAGGTTTATCCTTTTTTTTTTTTTTGTTGAAGTTATAAAACTTTTTTAGACCTCCCCAAACTGCCACCTTACCATGATGGTGGAGTTTGAGTACCCTAAGGACCCTAAGACTTATGCTGCCTTATGCACTTTGTTCCTGGTGGAGTCTCCCAGGGCAGCTTGGTCAAAGCTTAACAAAGCTTCATTCAGAAGCTCTTTTCACGAACATGCCAACACAATACCAGAGTGCTCGACCCAGACAGTTTCTGGGGTGCCACCCCTGATGGCTGAGCCTTGGGCCATGTGGCCTAGCCAAGCCAATTCCAAACCAGGTTGATTGGCTGGTCCATCTGTCCAACCACCATCTACAGGAAGAAATTGCATTGTCCTCTGCTTTGTGGAACAGGTAGCTGACCAAGGAAAATATGTTGGCGGTCAGATCCCCTGAGGTGAAGACTGGCATTTGGGACATGCAATGTCACATCCCTGGCAAAGGAGTTGGAGCTTGTGGAAGTGTAGCTGGACATAGTTGCACTCACTTTGACGTAAATGGTTAGCTATAAGTGCTGCACAGTGGCGCAATGGGTTCACATCCCAGCCTGGTGTCGCTCTGCAAGGGGTTTGCGTGTTCTCCCGGTGCATGTGTGGTTCTCTTCGGGTACTCTGGCTTCCTCCCACAGCCCAAAAACATGGCTGTCAGGTTGATTGGTCTCTCCAAATTGTCCTTGTGCGTGCGTGCAGGGTTGTTTGTCCTGTGTGTCTCTGTGTTGCCCCGTGATGAACTGGTGACCTGTCCAGGGTGTACCTCACCTGTTTGCCCAGAGATTGCTGGAGATAAGCACTAGCCCTCATGACCCACATGGACAAGTGGGTAAAGAAAATGGAGGGATGGATGGGTTGGCTATGGAACCTAAGTTGCTGGATGTCTTCTTAACCAGGTGAGAGTCAAAGGGTAGCTTACCAGTGCCTTTGGCTGGAGAATGGGTCTTGACTGTTGTGTGCAATTACTGTATGCACTAAATAGCAGTTTAAGAGACCCTTCCTGTTTGAGGCCCTAGGATGAGGACTAGATGGGAGTCTTGCCAAGAAATCCAATATACAGGCTCAGAGACAGGGTAAGAAGCACCTGCAAGGCCTCAGAGAAGCACCATCCCTCTACCTTAATGAAAGAAGTCAGCTGAGATGGTTCAATGGTTTGGTCAGGATGACACGCGGTTGCCACTTGAAGGAGATGTTTCAGGCATGTCCTGCTGGCAACCACAGATATGATGGATGGATTATATTTGTAGTCTGGCTCAGGAAACCTTTGGAGTCTTGGGGACAAAGCATGGTTCACTGGAGGAGTTGGCTTGGGGAGACATCAGTCTAAACTTCTGCTAAGGGCGCTGCCTCCATGACCTAGATCTAAATGAACCAAAATGGCCAGTGTTTGACATATTGGCTTCTACAACCTCTCAAGTTCATTCACCAACCCACACACACACACACAGTTCCGGAGAGAGAGAGAGAGAGAGAGAGAGAGAGAGAGAGAGAGAGAGAGAGAGAGAGAGAGAGAGAGAGAGAGAGAGAGAGAGAGAGAGAGAGAGGAGAGAGAGAGAGAGAGAGAGAGAGAGAGAGAGAGAGAGAGAGAGAGAGAGAGAGAGAGAGAGAGAGAGAGAGAGAGAGAGAGAGAGAGAGAGAGAGAGGAGAGAGAGAGAGAGAGAGAGAGAGAGAGAGAGAGAGAGAGAGAGAGAGAGAGAGAGAGAGAGAGAGAGAGAGAGAGAGAGGAGAGAGAGAGAGAGAGAGAGAGGAGAGAGAAGAGAGAGAGAGAGAGAGAGAGAGAGAGAGAGAGAGGGAGAGAGAGAGAGAGAGAGAGAGAGAGAGAGAGAGAGAGAGAGAGAGAGAGAGAGCCTGAGAGGTGGGGAGCGAGAGGAGGAAAAGA